CCTCCCATTACGCCGCAAACGTGGCTGTTAATGCAGTAAAACAGCGGGGTCGACGCAGGAACACTGTCTGGGACCCGCAGTGGTATTGAGGATCTGGGCCAAGGTGAAATATTGATTAATCATCTTGTCATGCTGGTGCTTTGTTAGATTCTGTAGATAGGAACTGAGGTGATAATATGCAGCTCCTCCGTCTAGTAAGGCTGCTGTATCACATGGAAATGATTTGTTGACTTACAGAAACCTGCTACAGTGGGGTGAACAGTAGGATGATGCTGAAATAAGTTTTTTTTAAAAAGTGTTGAACTTATTTTTTTCTAAAAAAAAAAAAAAAAAATCACTGTAGCAGAAAGCCAGAAATGTTGGTCCTCACTTAGCAATCTGTCTGAATCTGGACAGATGCATCTGTGTGGTCCACCAGGGAGGGTATGACACAAAGACAACAATTATGCAGTTTTCCTTGTTTATTTAGGGGATGAGATGGCTAATCAAATCTGGGTTTGCTTTTCAGCCATTCCTCTGGGTAAATTGCTCTGCCATTCAGAGAAGGCAATGAAAATCAAGGTCACAGTAAGGTATCTACAGAGAGCTGAAGGACCTCTTGTGATATGTTTCGCCCCTCTGCTCATCACATCCAGTAGGCAGTGGGGTACTTTGACGTGGAAATACAAAGCTCAAGGCTCTCAATGGGAATATTAACCCTGCGGATTCGATGAGGCGGTGGCAGCCACTCCCTGATGGTCAATAGACCTGGTTACACGCAGGTTAAACTAACCCTAGGGCTCAGCTCAAGGAGTACTTTCCCTGACAGTTATATGATGGGAGTGTGCTACCTTAGCCCAGAACATTAAACCCAGGAGAACCTGTCCCACCCTTTCTCCACCTCCCCAAACCCCTTTCATCTAGGGCAGGTGAGGGCAGAACTGATAAGAACTGTCATTGCATCAAATTAAAGGGGAAAACGATCTGGAAAGTTGTTTGCAGATAAAACTTGACTTGATTAATCTATTTGTTCTCTTTATTTGGCAGAAACCTAAAACCAAGTTTCACAGTGACTTTAACTGCACCAAAAATAATAGCCTATTTATGCAATTATCTGCATGTAGCTGACCATTGGCTCAGGCCAACAAAGTGAGCACAAGAACATGCACACAGACTTTTTTTTTTCTTTTCTTGTTTTTTTTTTTTTTTTCCAGGTGTGGTTTAGGCTTCTCACATGAAAACCACTGGCCTGTAGGTCTCAGCTTACCAGCAACCTGTGCATGAGGCTCAGGAGCTGTGAGAGCAAACCAAAGGCACCCTGTGCCTTTGGCCTGGAGACAAGGCCTCCGTCTTTGGAGGTACTTCTGGCTTCAGTGAAGCCAGATTTAATCAAACCTCCAACAAGCTGTTTTCCCTAAACGTGCCTTTCCCACTGGGGCAGTGCTGCATTTAATACGCGGTTTGTTACGAACTGCCCTGGGTCACGGATACCCACCGTTCCCTCATTGCCCGCTCACGCCAGCTTGTTTGCATCTGGTGATAGAAACCCTTGGTCTTATAGCACAAAAACTTCACAGTCTGCCACATTCAGTCTTTCGAGCCACTTAAATGTGAAGGACAGCCTTGTGCAGTAGCTGCAAAGACCAAGCTTGGCTGGGGTTGGCAGGCAGGGACATCCCCACTGTCTCCTTTGGAGCTGGCTCAGTCCTTTTCTCTTTACTGATGGGAAGGGCAGGAAAAAGTGCATTGCCTGGGCCAACACTGGCTTTTCCTGGACATCCCACCTCCCACCGCTCTGCACCTTGCCCAGAAGACTCAGAGCTTTGGACCCATTTCAAATGATACACTCAATTTTATTTATTTTTTTCTTTTAGACCCTAAAGGCTCATTTCATACAGTTGGAGGCCCAAAGAGCTTCTCAACTATGGATTTTTATCATTCCAGTGAGTCAATGGTTTGCTATCAGCCAGCCCAGACGCTGCTTCCCAACACTGTCCCCATGAGCAGCCTGTGGGAGCATCACCAGCCCGAGCTCAAGGCTCTACAACAGCATTCAAACATGACCTTGCACCAGTCCCTCCTGTAAAACGAGTGAAATACTTCTCTTTTCCCAGATATGGCTTTGAATCTTAAAGGATTGACCTAAAACCCTCCAGTGGTCTATTGAGAGACTCTGGATTGAGTCCTAAATTGCATGACCAAGTCCAAGACCCTTCACAGTGCCCCATCCTCTGGTTACCCCTATCCTTGGGACCCCTCAGAAACAGCCTTTGCTCCCCAGGCTGCAGAAGAAATATGTCATTTTTGCCTTGACCCAGACAAAACCAAGACAATAAGGAAAAAGATCCCTTCAGTTTTGTAGTCCTTTATTTTTTTTTTTTTTAAGTTGATCCTCCCATAGTAATGTACTGAAATGCGTAACAGTTACATTGTACAAAGCATTTAAAGAAAGTACCTCAACTTGCCGATTATTTCAAAATGAGATTATAAACAAAAGGAAAAATAAATCTGGTCCCTCACTAAAGGCCAAAAAAAACCCCCAAAAATAACTGAATACCTTCCGTTATTTATTTATTTTTTTAAAACATAAATTTGGAACACTTCATCTTACAAATAGGATTAACATGAACATAACATCACACAAGCTCGCAGACAACCAGCATAAAATATTGGGTACAGTTTTTTAATCAGAAGAATCATGCTTTCATGAAGAAATTATAACTGTTTATACAATTGAATCAATTTACTGTATTACAAAAAAAAACAAAACCAAAACTAAGTCGCATCTATTAGTTATTTAGTTCATTAAAAGGCAAAAATAAAATAAAAGAGGAATGTAAGAAAATTTCAAACACTGTTTTGCACTCCCATATACACAGATCAGTTCACCTCACTTTTTTTTTTTTTTTTTGAAGTACACGGGTGCCTTACACGGTAACGCAGTGGGGGACTGGAGCAGTGCTGTTTGTTACAGGAACAGTGCTATTGTAATCAACAAACAATCGTTTGCCAACAAATAAATACATGGTACACACGACACGAAGAAGAAATTAGAGGGCAGGGGGGAAAGGAAACAATACAACAAAAACAGTGACATGATTGTCGAAAATCAAAATCTCCTTACAATGATTTGAACTAGTGGTGCTGCCGATGAACGCGGTGCTTTCACGGAATTATCTGGATGATTTAGCTTCTCGGAGTAGTGAACATTCATAGTTTACAATATACACAAGCCTCTTACATATTGTTTCTCAGAGTTCTTTTTTTTTTCCTTTCTTTCTTTTTTTCCTTGTTTTTCCTTTTTTTTTTAACAATGCAGTTGAGAAGGCAAAAGAATTACGGAGAGAACAAAATATTCCCTGTTACTTCTTTCTACATTTACGATGGACAGTGTGCATTTGATAGAACTATTTTCTTTCTTTGAAGGGCTCAAACGCATAAAGCTTTAATGAAGAGATTTGTACATAAAAGCAACTGTTCCCAATCCTGTGTCCAACTATCTTATACAAAAAGAAAATCAATTCAGTTCCTACTTTAAAGGAGTGCCCATGTGTGTATCAATGCAGTCTTAACCCTTTTGCCCCTGCCCCTCAAAGCCGGGTGAACTGGAAGACACTTTTTCCCGGCCCTGGTTTACATAATCCACTGAAACTTTTTTTTTTTTTTTTTTTAAGTCGCATTGATCCTCCAGAAGTCAGCAGCTGCCTTTGCTGTGCAAAACAAAATATTGAGAATAAATAGTTTCTTTCTTTTTAAAATTATTCAGTTTAAGGTCACCGGACTTTAAATGAGTGACCCTGCAGATTTATAAGGCATTCTGCTCAGCAGTCTTTTAAATAGTCATATATGAGAGAGCCATGCTACTGGTTTGGACTTGGTCCCATCCTCGGTTAAGACTTCACAATGTCATACGTGACTGATGGATTGAATGGCGCTGGATTCTGCAGCGGCTCTCGCCATACTGTGCCACATATTGGGAGAATTGTGGGATGCGGAATGAAGGGAGTCCTTGTCGGAGAGAGAGAGCATCATCGCGTACGCCTGGACGGGGAAAGAAGAAGGACAAAGAGGTCACGATCCCGCGGCGTGGATCTGAGCTTGGACCCGCGCCACCCCTACGCGGCTGGGGCATCGTTTAGGCTACGGCTGCTCTTCTCAACTTCTTTAAAAAATATCAAAGCGCGTTAGGTAAAACCACTGCCAACCTTTTCACCAACACTCTCGACTCACTAATGGCAGTAATAATTTCTGCTTTCATCTGGCTTCACGAAGCTCTGAGAAACCTTTGATAGTAGACAAGGTCTCTGAGTCTCCTTTGCCTTCAGATTCTTGGCACAGGAGGCTCTTTTCAAGAGCCTGAGGAATCACATTATCCCTTGGCTGGTCCTGTGTTTCACCAAATACCACAGTCTCCTTCACTGACCTTTTCTACAGGCATATTCTGCAGTTCTAAAAACAGGAATCTTTTAAAGGCACTAAAAAGACTCATTTTAATGATGTTTAAAAAAATTTCATGAAACAGCACTAGGATATCAGTCTAGTTACCACCGTTTTAAAAACACGTTGAGGACCTAGAGGTGGTAACATCCAACAGACTTTAAAAAAAAAACCAAAAAGCCAAGCCAGCCAGATTGAGTCCCATCCCTGCGAGGCTGCAGCTAAACTCCACGGCCTCAGCGGGACCGCGCCGGCAGTCCGAAAGCAGAGCAGGACTATTGCTTATCACGGCATTTCTGCGGGTGGTAGACAGGAACGAAAATAGCAAAAAAAGTATGAAAATCCTCCGTTATCGAGGAGCAGAGCACCCAGCCATGCCTCCCCGGTGAGGTGAGCGGACGTGGAGCACAGCCCTGTCCGATGAAGCTGAACCGGCCCTGCCTGCCACACACTAATGGCTTAATCCTTCGGGTATTTGGCAACAATAATGTTTTAACCGAGTTAAGCTTTTACCTGGGATTTGGATTTCCTGTACAATGGTTGTTTTAGGTCCTCTGGCAGCTGGGACGTATTGAAAGCTGCCAATTCCGCTTCACTATATTGATTTTCTTCCATTTTCCTCATTTTGAGGCTATCTGTGAAGTGCCTTATGTGGTCCAAAGCCGAAAGTCCAGTCTTATTATACTCCTCCTCTTTATACCTACAAAAACACCATGGAGGTTTTAACGCCAATTAAATGATCCTTCTGCATTCCCTCCTCCTCTGAGATTTACACATCTGAGCAATTTCCCCCTTTTTTACACTTATAAACCACCTTGCCCTGTGGGATCGTGATCCTGAAATAAAAGAAATTCCCTTTTTTTTCCTAAAGATGAGAGGGTGGGCAGTGGGAGCAGGGGAGGGAGAGGTCGTCTTTCTGCTGGTGTCTCCACAAGACCATTATGGGAGAGCCAGGTCGGTTTATGGAGCAGATAACGTCTCTCCCATGAACGTTTCCTGTCTCACCCAGAACCTGACAATAGCTCCCCAAGCACAGTTATTTTTCCTCTTAAGGGCCACAGATTGCACGAAGGGACCGAAAACAAGGCTGGGATTGACCCAAACACAGACACATGTTGCTATCGTAACTGGGAAGCTGGCTACTCCGGACCGGTTCCCACAGCACATGGTTTGGTGCTGGCACTCTTGTATGGTTTATTGTTTTTATGTCATGTATCGGGTGCACCAATTCTCGGAAGGAACCAACCTGCCAGGGGAAGCTTTGCAGTTCATGTCCAAAGTACTCGTTTCCTCGTAATCCTCCTCCGGGGTCCCCTCGTGCATGTCACTCGTAACAGGCTCTTTGACTGCTTTCCCTGCAATTTCACCCTCCTCGTCTTCTTCGTCCATCATTACTTCATCTTCTGCCTCTTCGTCATCCAGCAAATCTGAGTTCTGGCTGGTTACCATGGCTTTTTCATCCTTAAAGTGGCTGCCATTCATTCTGAAAGTACCAAAACAAACCCAAGCAATAATCACAAATCAGTTATGAAAGCTCCTCGCCAACAGATTGTCGGAGGCAGATCTGAAAAGGATCTGTCCCAGTAGAATAAAGTGATTTCTGTATTTTAGATCTTGTTCAGCTTCAGACACTTAGGCAGTATTGGAGAAAATTCAACTCAAAAATCAGCGGGACGTTACAATACCATCGGAATGGGATCTTCCTGTTATCCTGCTAAAACGACTATTTAAGCGGAGGTATGGTCAGATATCCATCCCAAATTTTCTCCTGCATTATTTCACTCATGTTTTCAATCACCTATGTAGTCTGGGCAAAACAACTCACTGCCTTTTAACAGAAGCTGTAGAGGACGAGAAACTCTGAAAATCAGATCTGTCATTTTCAAAAACGACATCCAATACTGCATGCAGTGTTTCAAAGTCAAAACTACATGCATAATTAATTTTGCACACTACCACTCATTTGGAAGCCATACTACGTCACTGAACGTATGGATTACATACATGGGAACCTAAGGGACTTCAGCTCAAGACCTGAAGAGTGGTCTGCAATATTGTCTCCATGCTGAACTACATTATTGACTGATTTGAAGGGTAAGAAGTAATGAAAAGAAAGGTCATGTAGCGTTTTAAGTGCATTTATTCTTATTAAATGAGTAATTATAGCAATCTGCACATGGAAAACCATTTGGTTATTACGTTCTCTTTTGCTTTCAGACAATGACTTCTCTTAACTACTTCCTACGGGATTTTACAAGGACATAATACCCACGCTGAAGTAGGGGCTCATTTGCTTAATGGCCTCAACCCTGCAGGATTCAGAGCATCCACCGCTGCATCGTGCCCACCGCATCAAATGACAGCTAAAGAAATTCAGCACCGCCGCCGCGTTGGCAAACACATGGCCAGAGGTACCAGCGGTGCAGAAGGGCTGAACTCGGTGGAGCCGCACCAATTCACGCCACCAGCGTATCTGCTCCGCCGCGTTACGTCGCACGGAGGCCTTGATTCATCTATTGTTCTCATTGTGCAAAAGGTCCTTACTCTTCCAGGAATACAGTTATAAAAATGGAAACTTTATTGTCCGCCCGCAGTTTGCTTTCGACTCCGTGTGCTTCAAACTGTGCGGGACGATATGGAATATACCCAAAGTCTGAGCAAGATATGGACGAGCCCAAGCAGTCTACTTGGTATTCAACGTTTGACTTCTTGTTCTAACAGATATACTTTCTTACAGAGCGTACACAAGCAAAAGCTAGTTTCTTACACAACAATAGCATCATTTTCCTAAACATAATAGTGTTTCATCTATTTTCCGAGCAAATTCCAGCCAATTGTAATTTACTGCATTAAAAAAAAAAAGGTAGGGAACGGTCTGTTTATATCACAGTATCAAAAAATCTGAGGCTGTGCAGAGTCGGGAGAGCTGAAGCAGCCACCCCCCTCTAAGATAATCAGAGCAATATCTCTTTATCATCTTTTATTTAAATAGGCAGAAATAAGAAATTGTTGAGCAGGGTTTGGGCTGCCAACTTGCTTGTTATGCTCAATTGAGGCTGCTAGAAATGAAAGAGAGATGGACTACAACCAAAGAAACAAAAGCCATGTGATTAAGAAAACAGATTCTCTAATTATGCTTTCAAATGCAGCAATTTGCCAGGGATAAAATATCCATCAAGAGCAGTCTGAAGTGCCAAATTTCGAAAGGAAACACTGCACAACCCAGCAACCTTTTCACTTTGCCGACTTCCTGTCGGAGGACATGTTGAGACCAGATGTGCAAGGAAAAAATCCCAAGCCCTCATTGCCAATCAAGACGGAATGAAATTTGAATATGCATGTAATCACTTAATCCAATACTTTTGTGGAAATTGTCTTATGTCCACCATTTTTATCCCTTCACAAAGGCATCTGGAAATGGAGAAGACAGTGAAGTTTGTCATCAAGAGTAAGAAATTTGTGATGCTGATAACATAATGCCAATTCAAAAGCTCAAATAATGCATAATGCAAAAGCAACCTCAAAGAAATATGTATAGCCGAGGCGTGTACCCATGCTACAGCCTTTTCTGCTTAGCTGTATTTTTATTAGCTGAAAATATTTAGAAGTGGTCTCTCTTCTGTTAGTCCAGAAGAACTGAAACACTCATATACTGAATAAAACTTAAAAGGAAAAAGTCTCTCACTGTGGACTACCAACACCTACCCACGGCCTCACAGACTTTCTGCTAGTCAGCATCTTTCTTGGGATCAAGTTACTTACGGGAAAGGACTTCTAGTTACAAACTTTTATTTGATCCAAGAATTTAGCTTAGTCTACTTTATTAATTACACATTGATATTGCATCTAAACCATGAGGCTCTCTACAGGATGTAGAATTCACCTGCTCCGCAGTGAATGCAAACGAGGGTATTTTTCCACAGACTTAAATCAATGATGGGAACTTGAAACTGAGAGCTCCTGATACAAGGAGAAACGTCTTCATAGATGAACCTTCTGTCCAGTGTCTGCCACTGGGAATACGCTCATGCATGATGGGGAGGGAATTGACACGTTTCTTTTCATAAGACACTGAGGTGAGCACTGAAGCAATCCAATTGCTTAAGTAACTCTGGCTCCAGATGTCATCAAAAGTGAAAAATCAGGCTTAATCTGGAAAACGAAGAGTGGCCCCTTTTAAAGGCAGATCAGTGACAACTCACCTCTCCTCTGAGTTTCGGGGGGACTGATTGTTGTGGTTGCTGTTTCCAATAAAATTCCTAATTTCTGTGAAGTAAGAGTCTTCCTTGTCGTCTAGGATTGCCCCTGTGCTTTCCAGTTCTGAGTGAGGTGAAGAAGTTGCAGTACCTTAAAGCAAAACAGAGGACTTCTGTTGTTGCTCCTTTACATTTCCCGTACTTAACCATTTATAAAAAACTGAAATTGAAACGATGGTTAAAACGGGTGAGAGCCAGAAAGAGTTGGTCATAGTGATCCATCAGCTTTTGGCCATAAATCTGGTAATTAGTAAGGAAGTATTATCCATCGGTGAAGGTGGTTTCCAGCCAAAATGACTCTGGCATGCTGAGTGCCATTTCCATGGTTCATCTATCATCGATTTTGCCCAGTATCTATTTCAACATCTCCCTCCTGTTCCCTTGCGAATTCAAGACTGTCAGTCAACAACTGTGTTAGACCAATGCCTGAACTGCTGAGCAAATGGACCTTCATTTTACCTCCTAATTATGCAGATTTGCTTCAAATATGGAGCAGACACTGACATAATCACCCAGGTTCATTAGCACTGAGAAACCAGGGACAGATGACTTTGAGCATCAGGGAAAGACAGCTCTGCATTCACTGCCTGTCCCTGGCTATTTCCAGCGGAGCAAAATGTAAACTGAAAAGGCTGCAGACAGGGTTTTTATTAAACCCTGCAGATACCTAAACCAGACCAGTGATACCCGCTACCTGCTGCTGCCTTGCTGCTGCTGCTGCTGCGTGGTGGCCAATTTGCTCTGGGGCTGCGGAGGCACCATTACCTCCATCATAGCTAGTGCCTTTCAGCTCCCGACAGTGGGAATATTTTAGAGGGTGCCAAGAAAATCTTTTAGAGTGCGCCCTGAGACTCTAAATCTAGGGCTCCCATTGAGGGCCAATTGATTGCGGACATGGGATTAAACCAATTTTCCCAGTCCGTTCTCAAAACGCTACGGTGGGCTTAATTAAAACCATAAGAAAAGACATCATCCAGTGGTATTAAGTTATACAAGAGTAGAGTTTACGCTGGGATTTTCAAAGCACTTTAAATGTCAGCAGAGCTTAGGCACTTACATATTTTCCCCAAACCTGCTCATCCAAGCAGATGGTGTGGAGCAACGTGTGCCTGCTGACACTCAGTTGTATTGAAAATGAAGGTGAGGTCCCTATATACGAACGCCGGCGGTATGCAGGGCACACAGGGAGGGAAAAGGCGTACATACCAGACATGTTCCCATTCTCGTGCTTCTTTAGATGTCTGTCAAGATTGGTTTGTTGACCAAAACACCTGTCACACAAGTGACACTTGAATGGCTTCTCTTTATTGTGGATGTTACGGACATGTCTCTGCAGGTTAGAAGATATGCTAAAGGACCTGTCACAGTATTTGCATCTAAAAAAACAGAAACAGGGGGGTAGAAAAGGGTTTGTTAGTAGCTGGAAATGTAAAATTTGTCCTAAGAGACATGAAGCACCTTTTGGGCTCAGCTTCAGTACCCAACTACAGTTCCATGGTCCCTATTGAGGCAAAACCCTCCCTGAAATAAAGACAAGTTTTGGCTGAATAATTGGAGAGCTGTGCTCTTGGAATGGAGACGTCACTTCTACGGTGGGTTTTTTAGCTTTCATTCACATTAGACTTTCTATTTGAAACACTGCCTTTAGGAATAAGCATAATATTACAGAGTTAATGGCATCAAATTAGCTAGGGTAATTGATTCCCATGTTTTGAAAACTGTTGCACGCAAAGTTGGGAAGTTTGAAAACAGTAGAGCAGTAACTCTATTGTTTCATGTGCTGCCAATACAATACAATTAAACACTTTTGGAAAAAACATGAAACAGATCTCTTCTAATGCTCAAATAAGGTAAAAAAGAGCTATTTCTTTTCCTATTCTAAATTATACTGTGTGATTAAATCTTTTCTTGAGGAATTAGCTTGCTCGATTGCTAATCCCAGAGGAAATTTGGTTATCTTGCAAAAACCAGCAATAAACAATCCCAACCTTTAATACTGTGCCAATGTGAGTAGTTTAGTCTATCACTCTGGTACCAGAGGCATCAATTTTCATACTCCGTAGCGATGTGGAGTCCCTAAAGCCTTTACTGTATCGCTCTTTAAGCCATTACTAAGTCACACTATAACTATTCCAAATTCTCTGGCTGGCGACTAGCCAACAGTCTTCACCACTTTAGTTTTTCAATCTTTTACTTCTCCTGTGCTTCTCTTACGCCTGTCAGTTATGTCATTTTTTTTTTTTTTTTAGTGCTGAAATCGTCCATTATGCTACTAATTGCTCATGGCTTTTATGTAGTGGATAAGCATAACATGCATCAAGACCTTTCTTCAATAAAATTAGATGTGAATCTCATTTCCCAAAGAGACTAGAGGCAAAAAACGTATTGTTTCCTCACAAACAATGAGCTTACTCTGCTCTTTACAGCTCATAAAATGCAGAAATTGGTGCATTTGTTTTAAGGGAACATGAACTGGCTTCTTTCCAATTGATTTAAATTAGTCTTTTGCATTCAATAAGGTGAAGCTTCTATACACATTTCTGCATGTGACTGTCCCTGGATACAATATCACACACATATTCTTATCAACAAGAGAGTACACCCACACGGGTTTTGGTTAAGCAGATCTCAGAAAGGATCCAGATGAGGCAGGAAACAAATAAATACAGTAACGCCTTTGCAACCGGGACCTTTCAGAAATCAGATGATTGACGAAACACCCAACTTTAGGCTGCAAATAACACCACAGAGCTCTTACAAAAAATACATTTTTGCAAGGGAAAATATGACCACGAGCCCTACTGAAAATCATTTCAACCATGCTGGTTCAGAAGCGCCAGCTATCCCGTGAGGCAAAGGCAGGACTTAGGAGCACCAGGGTGGCTGCCTAAGCCAGAAGAATTTCACTAACTGGGACCAAAACCTTCCCTCATCTCCGCAGCTCCAACGCTGAATATCAGTGTTGAATGCAAAAAGCCCTTTTTGAGACCAAAATGCAATTGTGGGTCATCAGTGCTAAGGAGGGAGCGCTGGAGCTGGCCGAGCAAGGCTGTTGAGAGCTCATTCCCTTGCTTTATTCACTTGACCACACCACAGACACGGGTAAGGGGTCACAGTACCTATAGGGCTGCTCTCCAGTGTGCGTCCTCAGGTGACGTGTTAGGTTTGCAGATCTCGGGAAAATCTTGCCACAGTATCTGTGATGAGAAAATGTTTGATGAGACAACGCAACCTTCAATGGCTTCGTCCCAGTTTGAGCCGCGCTGGATGCGTAGCCCAAATTCAATCATTAATATGTGGTACTATTGGCATTGCTTTGGTGTAACGACATTTCAATAAAAGCCTTCAGCAAATACAAGTGATTGAGAGACACACATACAGAAGAATGGGACTGGAACTGCTGTCACCAACCGGCTTTTCTTGTGCATAAGCAAGGGATATGTGAAAACATACCAGTTTTAAAGATCACCCCAAATTTCTAAGCTCACTAGGCGATTATCCGTCACGTTCAGATTTGGAATCAAGAGAACCTGTTATTAAAGCCTTGGCTTTCTGCCTCCATGTAAGCAAATTTCAAACCTTTCAACCAATTCTACGTGTCAGCAAACGTGACATCATTCTGTGCATTGAATAGGATCAGAGCAGACAAGACTCAAAGATCTAATCCATCAAGGTATGTTTCTATAACAACATGTCTTGAAAGAAGGTGACATGTTTTCAAAAAGATCAGATAAACTGATATGCCAGTGTCAAATGCCTGCGTGTTCTGGAGATGATATAGAGACCTAAATAACACAATTTAGAAACCATTCTCCAAACTCGACAATATGTCACAGGAACATTAATGGCAAAAAAATAATAAATTGTTGTGGGCCCTCCCTCTTTGTTCAAATATCATACTGTTATTCCATTTATAATTGGCCCATTCTATTAATGACATTCAGCCCCTTTTTGCACGGGGACAGAGCGTGCACACAGAGCTCTCTTAAGTGAACGAGGGTGGTGGTTGCTCCACGTGACAACTTTGAAGATTGCATCCCTTCATCTTTAACATCCCATTTATTTTTTCACAACGTGATGTATAAGCCTTCAAAACACTCACAGCTAATTCTACTCTCCTCGACAAAGCTCCCATTCATTTTGGTTGCATGTACAATGACTATCTTCATTGTATTTTTTTTTTAAGTCTGTACACATAAGTCCTAATAAGTCATGTATTTTATCACTGATCCCTTTGGATATTAAAACCAGAAGCCTGAGAAAAAACACACGTCTGTAGTTTATGATCAAAAAAAATCAATAATGAAAGCACACTTGTGCATATGAAAGCAATGAGAAAATTTGGAAAAAAGAATTGTTTATATAATAGTTTCCACCTCATTTATCAAACCGGTATGATACAGGGCAAACTCTTTGTTTCCTAACACCAGTAATTTAATAAGTAAGGACTCCAAAGTGAAACGCTTTCCATGTTTCGTTGGGCACAGAGAGCCCTGGAAGACCCGTGGCGTTCCCCATGGACCATGGGAGCAGGAGGGATCTGGGGAGCCCGGGAGGGCAACGCGGGGCGGCTGTGGGGCTACCTGCAGGTGTAGCGCTCCTTGCCCTTCCGCAGCAGAGTCTCGGGCAGGGCGCTGGGCGGCGCGCGGAAGTTGAACATGGATGGCACCGACTGGATCAGCTCGTTGGCCTCTGGTTTCAGGGCGCTAAAGCTCTCCAGCTTTTCGGCCATGTTTTCTATAGCCGACATCTGTAACAGAAGATAGCACAGAACCCGTCACGGGGAACATCGCTTCGGCTCTCTGCCCTCACTGGCAACCCGAAACACAAAGAACGTACACTGCCAAGAGGAAAAAAAAAAAAAACAACAACAAAAAAACGTAGAGTTGCAGTCTCAAAAATTATGTGGCACGTTAGGCAACGTGGTGGCCACGATGTTGCCCCACTTGGAATAATGCCCATTAACTGCTACAGCAGGGTGGTGTTTCCCTGCAAGGCCAGCATAGAGCAGAACTCCTGTCCTGATGGCTATAATGGAAAGATGCCTCCACACAAAATCCAAATTAGACAGTGTTCATTCCTTCTTATTTTTAAGCCTCAACTTCTACAAAACTCCGGTTTATGCGGTCATGCTCTGTGGGTGTGTGCCTATGAGTCTATGCGTCCCATCCACTGAAACCATTGGCCATTTTTCACCAAAACAACAGAAGATAAAAAGAGATCCTAACAATAACTGAATTCCTACAGGTTTTTCTGTTGTTTTTTTCAAAGGACTTGCAGAGGACAAATATTCGGAGGATATCTTATGAACATTCTTGCTCAACCAAGGGCTGCAACAAGCCAGATCCAGAGAGGCTCTGTGAATGTCCCAGTCACATCCAACCATTCATCCCAGTCTTCTTACCCATTAATCAAAGACCATGAGATAAATCAGTAAGAAATTAAGCTTTGGTGGGTTTGGTGCTATGTGTTTACTTTACCTGTTAGATGCCTATCCTATTTTTCTACAACCTCTTAACATTCCTGTTCTACCTTTAGTTGCTTGTAAACCCTATATACTTTGGGATGTCTCCACTCTTGGTTACCTGTCTTAAAGGGCTTTAATTTTTAGGGAGTAGGCATTAAATAATTTCTAGAGAATGGTTTCCTTTAAGGTGTCTGGAACTGACCATGAAAAACTGCTCCAAAATCTCAAAACATTGTCAATCAGAGAGTTCAGGACTGCTGCTGAGCCTACTGACAGGTGAGAGTAACCATCTGCCTCTTCAGAACACCACAAACAAATGAAAATAAAAAAGAAACCCAAGATGTCACCTACAGAGCATAAAAACCACAGCATGAGCCCTGTGCAATATGTTGCCTGTAACAAAGGAGGAAATTATATGAGAGATAAGATGCTGGACACTCCTCAGATACCTTCACAGTCCGTTCTTCAAAATCCATGAGAGACTGCTCTGATTGTTGGGGGTTTGAAATTTTATTTTAATGGGAAGAATTGCATATTTGTTGGTTGTTTTTTTTTTTTTTAATTTTATTTTATTGAGCAGAATGGCAGGTTTGTCTTCTGGAATGACTATTCACATGCCGGTTAACTGTGGCTTTGGGCTGGTTGTTATTTTTTTTTTTCCCTTTAGCCTGTAGCCTGCCCTCTCATTTCATGCTCAGATTCCTAATGCCGAGTACAAATTGCAATGTACAGGGTACCACTGCCAATTTGCCAAATGTCTTTCATCAAACACGGTGCAAAGAAAAAAAAAATAAATAAAAAAAAAAATCTCAGAGGGAAGTCAAGATACATTTACTTGTCAGGCAACAAATGTGAAAGCATTGCGAGGCAGTAGGGGCTGTGAGCTCTGGGGTTTGATTCATAATCACTCAGCTGCTAAAACATTCTCCACAGATGCAAGTGGACAGCACATTCGTCAATATGAAGGATTTTGACACGTACTGATCACAGGCGTGAGATATGTAATGATGATGCTGCTGGGAGAGGAGGTAATTCTATCTCGGCACCGAGATGTCGTTATCAACCCATACACCTCAACATTACCATATATTTCTTTTTATACGACTTGAGCTTTTTCTTTAGTCGGAATTGATTCTTAAAGCTTTTACAATAGTCTTTCCACTGCCTTTCTAATTGTTCCCCGCAAGAATTAATTCGTCTATTTTGCAATTGCAGAAAATAAATGGTTTGGATGAAAAATGACCTTTGGCCTTTGGGCTGATTAGCAGTGACAAGACAGTGCATGGGTTACGATAGCACATATTTATGGTGAAGAATAATAAGGGCATTGAGAAGTATAATAAATGTTTTATTTATTTACATTTAATATTCAAGTCAGTTTCATTATCTAGTGGTTTTAAATCATTTTTGGATCACCATTTCTCATGTACATGGTCCCCTACAGTAATATATTAAAACAACTATTTCCCCTTTACATTTAAAATGGCTTAGTCATGCTTATTTTTTTTTAGTTCTTATTTCCAGAATTTTGCAGAGGAGAAACTGAGACTGATTCTTCTCTAATGTCCAGCGATGCAGATCAGCCCTACCTCCAACGCTGCCTCCAGGATTACATCAGTCCCAAAATAGGTATGAAATCAGCATCTAATCTTAAATCCCTCATTCAGAGGAAACACAAGCTCTTCCAATTCTTTTAAAGTACTACTCGCTTTCCAAAAATATGTTTCTCACCGTAGGAATGACTATTGTGTTAGTTATTTGTTGGGGTTTTTTTTGAAGACTGATCTATGTAGTTACCTGGTATGATTTATAATTTTCAAGAAATGTGCCCGGAACAACGGGAAGTGCTCAGCCCCAGCCTTTGCTGATATGAGTCAGTGGCTCTCCACTGCTGTCAGGGTAATTATAGCAGGCACTATCTGCTGGAGACAGGGCTCACAGGAACCAAAACCAGAGCATTTTCTTAAGCAGTCCTGGAGCACGCTGGTGCTTGGGGCCCTCAGGATGCAATTCCCTATCGTGAGACGGACACCTGGGCAGCAAGGGCTTGTTAGAGCCCATAAAATCCTGCCATCCCAGACCCGCAACACGCTCTCATGACTTTATATTCAGGTAGACAGTCCCCACTCATCAGTCTAATCACAAAATCTTAACTGGGTAATATGGAATCTGAGGTTTGTCACACTGAAGACTAACTCAAGGCACCAAAACCAAGCAGGAATTATAAAACCTGCGACACTTGCTTTTGGAAAGCCAGCACCCTGGTTTCAAGCAGTGGCCCCAGCGGATGCGCAGGAGGGTGGGCAAGGGACAGACCTTCTCCCCAGTGTCTTCAGTCGTGCACAAGCAACTAGAGGTGAAAGAGCCTTAATTGGAGGTTGCATCTCGATCACGGTGTTGAACGGCCATCGGTGGCTGCGGATCCCATTCACTTGGCTAAACCCTTTTTGAATCCATTTATATTTTTGTCAAGGAGAGTTCGCCAATTTAATTAGGTGCATATGAAAAGACACTGGCTTTTGTTCCTTCTAAGCCTTTTGCCTGATAATTCAGCTGGGTGCCCCTCATTTTTTTTTTTTTTTTTGTATTGTTAAAACTAATGAATAACCATTTCTCATTCAGGTTCTGCTCACCATTCATGGTCTCATTGAGCTGGGGCACAGCTCCCTCGGGCATTTCTTTTCCAAGCTGAAAAAATCAAAACCTACTTAGTCCCTTTTTGTATGGAAGCTGTTCCCTACCTCTGATCATCATTGTTGCACTTTTCTGTGTCTTTTCTAATTCTACTACGTCCTTTTTAAGAGGGACTTCAGCTGTACTCAAGACTCAAAAGCAGTATAACATAATGTTTTCAATTCCTTACTGCTAAGCACTCGGATGATATTTTCATAAAACTATCGACTTCAAGATCTTTCTCCCAAATGACACAAATTAAGAGTCACACTTTTCCATTGGTATGACTGGGTACTCACTGACATTGAGTTTTATTGCTATTTTAATCGCTGGTGACGCAGCTTGCTGTGAATCTTCAGCAAAATCTTCATAGTCAGCTTTGGATTTAGCTATTCTCAATAAACAATCACGAACTCTGCTCTTTGCCTGGTCACCCTTTTTCCTATGTCATATACAGACATACATCATGGTGCAGATCCCAGTGACCCCCCTCAGTTGACTCTCTGATAATCTTCAATGATTGTAAAAATCAGTCATTTATTCTTAACCTTTTTTTCCCAAGGGTGGTGGTTTTTTTTTTATTTATTTTGGACTAATTACTAACCCAGGGGATGACTTTCCCTCTTCCACAATGAAACTCCCTCTTTCAGCTGAAACACAACCGAAGTAGCTCTTACTCCTTCAAAACACCATTGCTACTGATGGTAAAGCAAGACTTGCCTGCACAGGAGCTGTGCTGACCATGGAGATGCTACTGATCAGCAATTTGCAGAACTCCTGGAGCCGGCTGTTAGCAACAGCATCTGTCCTGGGAGGTTTGGTGGGTGCTCGTGGCCACCTCATCTCTCCTCGGAGGGTGCCTGGGGACCACCAGAGAGGCAGGTGGGTGGCTCAAGCCATCGGGCAGCGCTTTTGGGAGAAGTCTGCAGCCCAGCCAAGTGCCCGAGGGCTGCAACAATCCCTGAACAGGGCACAGGGAGGAAGGCACAGCTTGACCCCAAGGATGGGATTAGCGTAATTGCCATGTCCACGGAGAAAGCTCTCCGAGGAGGCAGGAGAGCAAGAAGATCCTATTACATATTTTACATACAGCTATTGCCTTATGGACAAGTCATGCCTGCTCCTAATCTGAGATCAGTGAATGACAGTATTTTATATAGAACAGTAACTTTTGATTTACATATATAAGAGTTGTTGATTCTATCTGCGTCCAGATGTCTGGAAAAGGAAGCAGCTTTCCCCCACCTCCCTCCCGCTCCCCAAGAGGCTATTAACCTCCTACTGACGCAAACTAATATGCAGTCGCAATTCCCCAGCTCCGACTCAAAAATGCAGACATTACCATAATCGGCTAAAACAAGTATTTATAAACATTTCAACGGGCAAGATATCATCAGCAGGGGCCTTGAATATTTGCCTTTAAATTTATTAACCAGCAGAAAAAAAGTGGCATAAATAAAGCAAAGGTTTGTTTTTGCTGCTTTTTAAGAATAACCTGATGATATGAAATAATCTAGCAGACAATGTCATGAATTACATGACCTCATGTTTTACAGACGCGACTCCTTCATTGCTATTATCGCAAAACCAACTAACTTTATGGCTGCAACTCATGGGAAAAAAAAAATTTGTTCAAATGTTTGCTTTCTATTTTTACTAGTGTTATTTAGAGAAACCTTGAAAACCCAAACAGTAAAGCTCAGGATTTCTTCCTCCCCAGTTCAAGTTATAACGCTTTCTCTAAAAACTATGACTTGTGAATTTGTTGTCTTGAAACTGTGTGTGTTTGGACATCCAGCCACAGAACTTGGCTGAGCTATATTCACGTTCAAGAGACCTATCACACACGGCTGAGCTTTATGAAGCAGTAGCGAGAAACTCCTGCTGATCTGCAGTATAGTTCCAGAACGTTATTTGTATTAATGCAGTTGGTGGGGATTTAGCTGATCTAACAGAATGGATCGTATCCTAAAATAAGCCCAGTAAAATAAAAGTTTTGTTAATGAACTCACCAAAATTTCTTTTCATCTATTTGTAAAACTATTTTAATGATTTACGATGATTCTCCATAAAGCTATCGCAAATAAAGTCTGAACCTCTTCATAGCAACCTTCTCTTGATGGGACCAGAAGGGGATGAAAGAGCCTAAAGACTAAATAAATCGTGATCCATTCAAGAAGGGGTGTTGCCCATTGATTTGCACTATAGTGTTCCTGCCAAACAGTGAAGAACAATCTGAAATAATCTTGAAATATATGGCACATGCAACTGCGGATTGAGATAGAAAGGCTCGTCTGAGATATTCAAATCTCTCAAGATGAAGATTCACCCATGAATTAGCATCCTGCTCTAGGCACTTTTATGTTTTAAATACCTATTTCTGCTGCAGCTGCTCAAAGCACTAGCACGGCCAGGAGACACATGCTCACCAAAAAAAGCAGAATGATGGAAATTTGAGGATCAAGCCAATGTCAAGGAAAGCATACAGAAGAAACAGACTGCACTGGGCTGTTCAACTTCCCAAATATGCCCAAACAGAGCCACTTTTCTGAGAGCAGAGGATTCAGAGTGCCCGGGCCAAATCACAAATCCTACCATGGCCCTGTCACGTGCTACACTGAATGTCCTCCACTGCAAAGAAAATATTTGGAAACCACTTCTTGTGTTCCCCAAGTCTGGCATCTAACCCTACCTCCTATCTGTTGAGCTCATGCAGCATCTATGGGGGCTTGCAGGAGTCCTTCAGTGCCTGCTTAGCTCCTTTCATCTCAGGATCCCAGTGTGTCTTTTGCAGCTGCGCAAACCATCAATTTACAGGAAGAAAATGGGATTAAAAGCCACGTGTACGTAAAGCGAAGGTCCGTCGCTGCTTTTGAAGTATGCCATGGATGGCACGCAGAGGACAGCGGGGCTAAGTGCCCATCTGCAGGGGCAGCACCTTTGAGGGTTCCTGCACTCACCCCGTACAGAGACGCAAATGGGAAA